AGCTACTAGTAGTAGTGCCTTTGTTACTAGTAGCCATTGTGATTTTTTATCAGCAGAAGTCCTTTTCTAGGCAAAGGTTTTCGTCATGCTTTCATTATGCTCAGCCTTTGATCCTACACATGTGTTGAGGCCAAGAAAGAAAGCGGACAACCAAAAAAGAAGCCTGCGCAGCGACCTGCGACGTCTGTGAAGGCTGAGCGTTGTGAACAGTGGAACAGTTGACATTGGAATCACGTGTTCACCAGTTGACTTCCACTTGATATTCCTGTCCTGCCAGGGAAGTTGTCCACACTCTGTTGCCAATTTTTCAGAGGCCTTGGTGGAACGCAGCGAAGCTTCAGCTTCAGACATCACAACACGTTGTGTAATCCTGTTGCTATGTAGCTTACTAGTAAGGTACTAGCTACCTCAGTTCCTTAATTAAGTCGGCAGTCTCTACTTAGTTAAGCAGGGAGGGGCCAGGAGCCCCTAGTAGCGTCCTTGTTCGTCCTGAGGCATCGATCTTCAATTGAAGGTGGACTTTGAAGAACAGGTCCTCCAGGGCGAATGCAAGCTCACAGTGCGATCCATCAAACCGGCACCTCACGTGATCCTGGATACTTTGGCCTTGGCGTTTGGGCTGAAATTGAAGACCAATTTTTTTGGAATTTGTCTTCCTTTAGAACTGGCAGTTTTTCTTGTTTGGCCTATTCTTGCTTTTGCAAGAGCGTGAGATCAGGCAATTGAATCTGTGACGGATGACAATGGAGAACCCGTGCCGCCATTTGCAACAAGAATCCTTTCACATCGAATCATTTGATTTTGCTTAGATCTCTTGCATGCAGATTGTGGTTTTCTCGAAAAAAAGACCTTATCAATTTTGTTTTCGATGTTGTTCAACTGTAGTCTCGAGAGAAAGCAAGGTGCATTGGGAGGTCGAGGAGTCACCACCACCCAAGTCGAACTTTGGTCAGTCCTTGGTGATTGCTTTGCCTGCCTCGAAGACTACAACGCTTTCGATTAAGTACAAGACAACGGAGAAGAGTACTGCACTACAGTGGCTGACAAAAGAGCAGACGCAGGGCAAGCAATATCCTCTTTGCTTTACACAAAGCCAAGCTATTTGTGGCAGATCCTTGCTGCCATGTCAGGACACCCCATCGGTGAAAGCACCCTTTACAATCTCTGTGACAGTCCCAGAGCCACTCACAGCCGTTGCATCTGGTGAACCATCTGGCGATCCTGAGTCAAGCGGAAACTTTCGCACTTTCCGATACGAGCAGAAAGTGCCCGTGATGTCTTATTTGATCGCAATTGTGGTTGCTCATTTGGAATCCTGCCAGATTGGACCAAGAAGCAAATGCTATGCGGAGCCTGGCGTAATCCATGCGGCACAAAAAGAATTTCAAGATATTGTTGAAGACTTCATTTTGAAAGCTCAGGAAGTCGTCGGAGGTGCAAAGTACGAATGGGGCAGCTACAATGTTGCAGTCATGCCGTCATCATTTGCATACGGGGGGAATGGAGAATCCAAATTGCACATTTATGAGCGCGTCATTGATACCTGGAGACCGTAGCTTAACTCCCACCCTGGCTCACGAGATTGTGCACTCCTGGATTGGTAATCTGGTCACGAATGCGTTCTGGAAAGACTTCTGGCTTAACGAAGGCTTCACTCGCTACATCGAGAGACGAGTCCTCGGAAGCCTGCCAAAAAAAGGTTGGAACTCCCTTTCAAGACAACAGAGAATACTTCTGTTCCTTTTATGTTCTTGTATTTCTATGTATTTCCTTTCTCCTTTTCCGACTTGTCCTTCTCTCTTTTCTTTTCCCGAATGCGTAGCGAAGGGTTCTCGTTTAACTCTGGGGGGTCTGGGGGTAGAGCCTTGTTCGCGACACGTTGTCTCAGCGTTCGCAACCGTCCGCAACCGTTCGCAACCGTCCGCCGCCGTCGAAATCATTCCAAGCGTGTGGTGTGGTGCAAATTTTGTTGAAGCTCACATGACACGATATTGTTAGACGTGTGGACGCGGAAAGATTCGTGGCAGGCGCAGGCAATCGAGAGTGTCTCACAAGAGTGTCCCACAAGAGTGTCCCAGAAAGAGTGTCCCACCAGAGGGTCCCACAAGAGTGTCCCGTAAGAGTGTCCCACAAGAGTGTCCCACAAAAGTGTCCCGCAACAGTGTGTGAGAGTGTCCCACAAGAGTGTCCCACAAGAGTGTCCTACAGGAGTGTCCCACAAGAGTGTCCTGTAAGAGTGACCCACAAGAGTGTCCCATAAGAGTTTCCTACAAGAGTGACCCACAAGACCACAAGAGTGTCATTTGGACATATGTAGTTTTTCGAACGTGTTTGCACTCGGGTTCGTGGGCTCCATCTTGTTTTTTATTGTTTTTTTCTTTTTTTTTCTGATAGCGATAGCTTTGGGTTTCTTACTTCCAATAAGAATGAGCTGGCTGTGCACGCTTTCGAGACAGGGTGTTGGCTTGTGCCGGTGCTGGTGTTTGTGAGCTGGCTGTGCGCCCGTCGTTGAATTCTGCCTAGCTATCTGGGGTCCATGCTGGTGTATATTTTTTAGTTTCTTTAGATCTTGAGACCTTTTTGTTCTTTTCTTTTGGTTGGAAGAAGGCCTTTCGTCTATGCCTTAAATCTTCCTTTCTACCAAGAACGATTGTAACAACACTCAGGCAAGATTTTTTGGGCCAGCCTTTCGTGGACTGCTGCTGCTGGTTGGCTACAATGATCTCATTAAGTTGCGCGCCGGCAGTACGAGACTGAACTGGAGTCATTTTGACTCTAGTAGCAAGGTGCCTTACTAGTAACAAGCCACTAATGCCCTTGTTACTAGTAGTGATGCACTTGTTGCTAGTAGCTTCTAGTATGGGCCCTCCGAAAAGATTATGAGTTGTCATTCTCTCCAGTCTCTCCAGTCATTGAGTTCTTTGACACCGTTCGACCGAGGGCTGTGGACATGTTGAATCAGCAAGGCACACCCGGCCTCACACGGCTTGAACCTGAAATCGATGAGATTGATCCTGACGATGCATTTTCCCGAGTGCCCTATGAAAAAAGGCTCGCTGTTTTTGTTCTATTTGGAACAAATTGTGGGCGGTGAGCAACAAATGACAGACTGGCTCGGGGCTTATGTGGCTGCTTTCCGGGAGCGTAGCATTGAAACAGAGGATTGCAAGCAGCATTTCCTGAAGTTCTTCAAAGGTGTCAAGCGCATCAAAGAAATTGATTGGGAACACTGGCTTCATGGTGAAGGTTTGCCAGATTTCGATCTTTCATCTTATGTAGACCGGGCACTGGTGGATGAAAGCCGCGCCTTGGCTGACAGCTGGCTCAACACCTCAACATCCGATGTGGAGACAGGCCATATGAAGGCGCAGCAATGGATGCTATTTCTGGATCATTTAATCAACGCAGTGGTGGCCGGAACGAGTATTTCTCACGATACTCTTGCCAGCATGGAAAGCAAGTACAAGCTCTCTCTTACCAAGAATGTGGAAGTATCTTTCAGGCAAGGGGTCAAATATAGTATATTATTTGTGTGTGTTGGTTAAATCTGAAGAGCAGCAAAAAAGTAGTAGCAATCGGCTTGAGCAGGCCTCACGTTTGTTCCTGCTGCACCTGCAATGCTTTTGCTGAGACAATCATGCGAAAGAAAGGGCATCGGTGTGTTTGCTCGTAGTCTCACATGATTCAGTCAATATGAACGAAACCAAGGTGGTGCTTGCTGGGATGCAAATGCAAGTGGCCGGTGTGTTTGGACTGGACCGAGAAGTTTCTGGCAAACCACGGACGTGGAGTATATGTTAAGTGTTTCGAATGAACTTATAATGGAAACAGCAAACAGAGCAAAGCAGATCTTTGGCATTCCATGCCTTCAGCGATGCTCTGTTTTCATGTTCAGAGAGTTGAGGCCTTTGTATATGGCATTGAAGGCATTCGATGCGGAACGCGCAATTTCTGTGTTCCAGCAGAATCGAGGCTTGCTTGAAACATGGTTTCTTTTTTGACAAACAAGAAAGCAATCTTTGTTGCTTTCCCATTTGCTTTAGCATGTTGCAAAATCTGAAGGACAGATTTGGACTCAAGTGTTTGTGGATTGGTCGATGGCCCGTCTTGCTCAGGTAACTTCTACATGACTGTTGTTACACGACAAATTGCTGCTTGTCTAGGTCTAGGCTGAGGGCGCATGCAGGATTTCAGGCAGCTTCTGAAAAGAGAGCGATTGGCTTGGAAGTGGCAAAGTCTGAGTGGTTGTGCTAAAGGCTTAAGCCTAACTGTGAGTTGTATATTAATACAAATAGCCATTTCCCAATTTGGAGTAGCCCCCCGGCAGTGATGTTTCGGAGCAATTGGATGCACCCAAATCAGCTTCTATAGACTCTGATTCTGAAAGAATATCACGTGTTCTTATTTTGTGCAAATGGTCAGAAGTGGAATGGTTATTGAAAGTCTTGCACATCAATTAACAAGTGGAATGGTAGTGGTTCGGCGTGACATTTTTTTCCGATCCTTTGGTTGCGGGACTCCCATGTCGGCTGCCACTCGAGCCATGCGCTCGCGCTGTGTGCGCTTGAGCTTCTTGGAGAAGCGGACACGATGAGAGGAGATATGTCAAACGGTAGCTAGGAGCGATCGGACGCTACTAGGGGCCCCTGGCATCGCTACGAACGGAGCAAGGACACTATCGATGGGCGTGGATTCTGGATTTCAGATCCACCAAGGTGCGTGTGCCCTATCACCACTAAGTCCTGGCCTTTGGAGCTTTGTTTCGTCTTCGAATCCTTTAAGCTTTCTACGACGTGTGAGGCTTGTTTTGCTTAGGGCCGGTCTTCACCTCAGCTTGGGACACACTTGAGCCATGCAGTGGAGAACCACTTACTTTTATTATCCATGTGTGCAGGCTGTGCGCAGCAACGAACTGGTAATGTAAACATTCTTCTTCCTGTGATATTCTTGCTGGCCTCTTCAGGGCTGGATGTCACACCTGCCGCGCCCAACAGGCTTCTCACCTTGCCTTGCGCAATAGTCGTCAAACACAATGCAAACAATTTGCACCTCTTAGCTACCTTATACCACGCAATAAAGCACAAAAAGAGTCAACCAAAGACACAAAAGAAGACGAAGAAAGGAAGGGGCCTATGTTTTTTCTGCGAGGCCGGCGGATCGGCAATCATGCGGTTCTGGAGAGGTGCATCACTCAATACAAAAAAAATAGAATCGCTACTAGGAGCAAGGACGCTACTAGGGACAAGTGCATCGCTTCTAGTAACAAGTGCCTTACTAGTAGTAACAAGGACGCTACTAGGGGCTCCTGGCCTTACTACTAGGAGCAAGGACGCTACTAGGGACAATACAAAATAGAACCGCTTTCACCGCTGTGGGACACGTCGTCGCGTCGCGTCTTGGCCGAAAAGGCTGCAAAGGCTTGGCCGAAACATCTCCGTGGAAGTGAGTCCAGCCCCAGCGGGCAGAGACTCGGTAGAAAGACGGGAGGTCGGTAGAAAGGTGTCGCAGTGGAGAAAGATTGAGTATGTACCTTGTTACTAGTAGTTTCTTGTTACTAGTAGCGATGGCCTCCAACCTACTTGCGGTGGCCTCCACCTAATAGCGTCCTTGTTGTTAGTCGCTAGTTCCACGTACGTGGAGACTGTCTTCGTACCTGCTCATGGTAAGGCCCCAAGCGTGGCGCAGTACTTCGAGAACATCAGTTTCCACAAAAGAGCCCGAGACCCGTTTCGTTGGACCCGTCTTCCGTTGTTTTATTGTCTTCGTCTCAATCTGAGGCTCTGTCTTCGTCAATATGGTGAAGACTACGGTTGGACCCAAAAAAGTAGGTCATTTCAACACAGACCAACAGGGTTGGCACAACCACTTTGCTTGTGCAAAGCTAAGGCTGACCACTTCGTGGATGTTGCTGACACGTCAAGAGACCTGGCAAAGTCAGGACTCAGTTTCTATGCGTCC